AAGCTTCATTTCATCCATCTAGTTTTTATTACTTTTAATATTATATCTGATTGGTCTACGTATGTTCAATTTCACCCAAAGTAACAAGAATTTCTATCAAAACTAAAATCTTCAAGTTTTAAAAACTCGATACATATCATTAAAAGTATCAATGTTAATAAAAAATAATTTTCTGTTCCTTTTTATGTTTTTTAACGACGTTTTTACGTGTTTCTCATGCTTATGCTGTATCGAAAATAACCAGCTGGTGTAAATAATTGCATTTAGAGTTCCCACAAGAACTACAAGAAATAATAGTCTATTTGCAATTCCTCTTCACCTCACTAAATTATGCTTATCATGCGCTTCTACCTAGACTATTGCGACTGGTTAATCAATACAATTAATAGCGTTTTCGATATCATCGCTCATCTTTTATGTGCACTCCCCGCAGGCAGGGCAGTGGAATCGAAAACGCTATAAGATATCACTGAGTGTTCAATTAGCCAATTTCGGAACGAAGTAAAAGAATATGTTTATAATATCTTTGATATATTTCATTTCATATATTTAATATTATATTTATTTTATCTTTTATAATGTATTTAAGCTATTTTATGTAATTTATGTATACTAATGGATCTTTCCGTAATACATATTTATTTATTTTTATAAACACGCCCATTGTGCACTATAAATGCGTTAAAATAAATTAATTATAATTTAACATTGCTCAAATTAGATATTCCTCTTTAGGCCTATCATTTTGTGATAAATTGTCTTCATAAAAAATTGTACGTTACAAAAAATAAATTGTGCTACTATAAATGAGTTTGTAATGTATCGGGTGTCCAAGAAAGGACGCCGGTCATATCTAAGGAAACGTTTATCCTACAGTTCTGAGATTTTTTATTAACAAAAATGGTCCATAAAAATCGATGGAAATTTTTAAGTTACCAACTTCGTCGCTAGGAGGTGCAATGCTAGTCAATAATAAAAACAGGTTTTTCTCAACAAAAAAAAGGAAAAACAAGTAGGGTAGAATGGGGTAATACCGGTCAGCGGCCAATGCCGGTCATATCTTTATTTCCCTACAGGAATTAGATCCGGCAACAGCGTTTTGTGCTGCTTTTAGTATTGCAGTAGTGAGCACGTTTAATTGATTCAGTTACCGACAAGCGTTGACGTGGAGCGGTCACCGATTTTGTTTTTCGTAAATGTTGAAAATAAGGGGTAAGTATTTTTATTTAAATTTTTTTTTAAATGTAAATAGTTAATCAATAGGGTGCAACATCGTGTAATTGCCTTACGTATTAAAATGAGTGATTTTTAGCAATTTTAAGGTTCTAAATGATTTTTGAATGTACGCGTGCATACGAGGGCAAAACCGGTCAAGTGACTGGCATTGCCCTCATAAACAAAAATGTATTTTTCATTGGTCTTTTTTTCTTTTATTGCAGATGCCTAAGCCACGTGTTAAAAAATCTGATAGAACAAAGTGGTCAGTTGAAAACCTGAATGCTGCCAAACGATTACGTGAACAAGGGATTTCTATACGAACTGCTGCTAAACGATGTGAAATTCCGTTTTCAATCCTACAAGAATTAAGAAAGAAAAATATGTCACTCCTGTTTTGGGAAGAAAAACTATTTTCACTAAGGAACAAGAGATGGAAATGGAAAAACAAACAAAATATCTAGCATCCATATTTTATGGATGTTCAGATAAGGAAGTCAGACGGTCATTCCAGTTTGCCGAAAAAAATGGCATAAATCATAATTTTAATACTGAATTAAAAATGGCAAATTGGCTAGTAGCATTTCTAAAGAGAAATCATATTTCAGTGCGTAAAGCGGAAGCTACTAGTTTAAACAGGATTACTGCCTTCAATAAAAAGGAAGTCGACAGGTTCTTCGAACTTTTACAGCAAGTGATGGAAAACACAATTTTTTGTCCAGAAACATCTACAATGTTGATGAGACTGGAATTTCCACTGTTTAGGAACCAGGAAAAGTTTTGGCGGCAAAAGGTCAGAGGAGGGTGGGCTCGATGACAAGCTGGGAAATGGGTCGCAACATAACAGTTATTTGTGTAATGAGCGCCGCTGGGAGTTTATTGTTTATTTTACCTCGTCAACGACATTCGCCACTGTTGGAGAAAGATGGTCCTATTCGAGCAATATATGAATGTTCCAAGAATGGATGGATAACAGAAGAACTATTCATCAAATGGCTTAAACACTTTGTTGTTTATGCAAAACTATCTGAAAATGAAAAAGTGTTACTAATATTAGACAACCATTCTAGCCATGTATTCCTGGCAGCCTATGATTTTTGTAGAGCGAATAATATTATCATGTTATCCATTCCACCCCACACGTCGCACAGGACTCAACCATTGGACGTTGCGTTCTACGGACCACTCAAGTCATAGAAATAAGTGCAGTCTACATGAAGTCCCATGCTGGAGAAAAAATAACTCCGTATGAAGTTACCTCATTATTTCAAAAACCTTTTTCTAACGCTGCATCAGTGGGCAAAGGAGAGGCAGGCTTTAAGGTAACAGGGATCTATCCGATTGATCCTTCTGTCTTTAAAGAGGAATATTTCTTGGCTGCTGATGCCTTAAATGATCTAGATGACAATGGAATTGACACTAATCTTAACGAAGATATTGCGCCAGTCTCAACGATTCCGAGATCCGACCAAGAACAGGCAGGAAGTTCGAAGAAGAGTTGTTATTCAGAACATAAAGGCTCCGCAATTTCTTCCGACTTCAAAGCCAAAACCGACTCTAAATTGCAGTGTTGAAGACCTACTTCCAAAACAAACAAAAAAATACCAAAATGACAAAGCTGAACCGGATACCTAAACAGCATTGGACTATTTTAACTTCTACACCCCTTAAAGACTTAATGGAAGAAGAGGAAGAGAAAAAGAAAGCAAAACTAGAGAAAACTACGGGTAGGACAAATAAAATAAAAGGTCTTAGTCAAGCTAAAAGAACAATACTAAACTCGCCTGAGGAAGAAAGTCGCCAAGAAACCAAAGATGATGAACGTTACTACCCAAAAGGAATATAGAACAAAATCTAACTTCAGCAAAAAAAGAACCGATTCAACATCCTCTGACATTGAAATGAATATCTGCAGTGATAGTGAAAACAATGAGACAGATTTTAATTTATGTGTGATTTGTGGAGAATATGGGGCAAATAATGTGATGTGGTACAGGTGTACCATATGTGGACAATGGGCACACTCCCTATGTTCTGGAAAAGATTCTCCAATCGAATACCCACTAAACATGAAACATTACTAGTCTTTTTTGTAACGTTTCTCATAGAGACTTTTCTTGATATATTTTTAAAATGGTGCTAAAATATCCCATAGATGTTTAAATTTTAACATCATATTAATTAACATTCCTCGCATATATCTACAAATGAAGTTTTATGTATGCTGCAATACTTGAATTAGCAGTTACATAAACATCTTTTGTACTTATTTTTAGTTACTTCCTGTGACATTTATAAGATGTTAATCACAATCATATGGCATACAGGTCAGCACAGTAATGTGTACAAGTTACACATCTTTAAGATGGCTATCTTTAGTCTTTACGTCGCAGACCTGGCAGACCTAACAGTTCGTGCCGCGTTCATAGATGGAGATACCAATGATCGCTTGGTACTTATGTAACCGGTAGTACTGTATATTATGGAGCACTCGCGTATCGGGGGCAAATTAATCATTTGTAGTGCGCATGCCGTACGCGTTTTATTTGTACATCGGTCTCCTTTTGACAGAGTAGATCAGCTGTGTTTATGCCGATCGGCGTAGCCAGGTATGGATTAAAATTTTCTGGTTGCGGCTTGCCGCCACCCTACAAGAAGTCGTTGCTTCGTCTTCTTGTTGTCACGGCATTATTATTATTTGTTCATGTATGTGAAATTTGTTTCTAAGGTTTATAAAATATTACTGCTAGTCACGGCGTAAATGAAAACAAACAAGACGCATACACACAAACACCACAGCAATTACAAGTGATTAGTGTTGTCCGCGAGTGTCTGTTGCCCAGTATTAAGTATTTCATCAAAGTTTTTACTTTTACCTTTGATATTAATTTAGACCAGCCATACTCAACCTTTTTTCCTTCGGGCCACATACGTATGTTTGCTATGTTACATGGGCCGCAATATCTTTGGATGATGACTCTTTATTTAATCCACCCATTTAAAATTTTTAGTGGGAATCTCTAATAAAAAAACCATAATGCATAAATATATCCCGTAGGCTTACTGCAAAAACAAGATAATTTACATTTTTAAAATTTCGAGAAAATACTCTTCAAAAGTTTAAAATGAAATAAAAAATCAGTAAAAGCACTGTTTAATAAACAATTACTGAAAAAAAAAGAATTTAAAACAACTCTCGTTTATCTGTTTGTCATTGTTCATAAGAATTACGCCATCTAGTGTTAAAGTTAGCAACTTGAAAATAATATCCAGCGATTTATCTTGGCCACTTTTCTGTTTATTTTTTTTTAAACGTCCTTTCTTATTTGGGCATCCAGTATAGAGGTAAACAAAATTTTATTTGAACTGTTGACTCATTGTTTTAATTAGATAATTCGATCATGTCTACTTCTTGTAAGCTTGTAGCAAATATTTCTTACACATAAGTCATAGAAATTACATAACTAAAATAAAATATTCAAAAATTAACTAGATACATCAAGTTCGTTGAAAATATGGCCACAAGTTTTCATTTATAAATAAAATTAGTACCATTAAACTGTTTAGGCAAAACTACTTTTAGGCCAAATTGATTAATTTTTTTTTACATTTTAAGAAAAAATATTTTTTTAATCTACTACCTCAATGTAAGTCTTTTTAAGATACTAAATGGAAACTATTTCTTCCAATACTTTTAAAAAATAATCAAAATTGTAAACATTTAAAAATTTGAGCAACAAGCAAAAATTCAAATTTAATATCTTTGATATTAATATTTACATCCATCTTTTTTTAACTCTAATCTATGTTTTTTCTGCCAATTGGGTTCCCACTTTTAATACTTTAGTTAAATAAAAAGTTATAAAAATTTGTATAAAAAACTCATTATATAGGTAAATCATTATATTATAATGTTGGAATTTTTCAATTTTGGAATTGGACCTAGTTTATACAGTACTGGCCATCGAAAATCTTCCAATATCCCTTGACACAAGGGCGTGTGAAAACTACAGAGACAACACGGCAAGTAGAAAAAGAACAATACCAGCGATGTAAGCATATACGGCCTGGCCAACGTTTCAACGCGGTCGGTTCGTACAAATGGCAGCGTTGACACCATTCCTTTTCTGCTGGCTCCAATGCCAACCCTCTGTAGCTTCCACATGCATTTGTGCTTCACGTATTGGAAGTGGCCGACACCGTATAATATGTCTTCTTATTAAGTCGGCATCATATGGGAAACTTTCGTATTAATAGTTTAATTAAAAACAGTTATTCTTCATAAAAAGTTTTGCATGGTCTAAAATCTAAAATATCACTATCAGATATGAAAGTTTTTCAGTCATGTACGAGGTTTGCCTGAAAATATGAAGTATATGCAAGAGCAAAATACCTTTATTTTTAACAATATCGAAAATTATTATTAAAAAAAGTTGGTCAGAATTGGTAAGCGGATATTAGATATCTCATCATAGTTTTCAATTCTGTTCGATTCCATATTGTTAAAACTGAAGGTACAAACCCCGTACGTGACATTGATTTCTGATTGTTCTATTTTTGGTTTTTTGGTTTTAGACCATGCAGAACTTTTTATAGGGAATATTTTTTTTTATAAAACTAATGTCATTTGGTGCCGACTGTATAACCTTACATTTTGACATCTTTCCTCTCAAAAACTCTATAGTGAAAACAAAACCGGCAACATTTAAGAACATAAGTTTTGGTAATAAACTGGATAAAAAAATATCCAAATTGTGAATATAAAACTAATTGCGTTTTAGAGCACTAACTGTTCTAAAAATTCAGTTTTTTTTATAAAAAAAAAATAAACTATTTTTGCTTCACAAATACAACATTGAACACTTTGTAACATTAAAGCTGTATAGGTATATCATAAAAATAATAATAAAAAGCTTTCAAAATCAACATACAAATACTTATATTAATATACACTTCCCTATTTTCGGAAGTTTCTTCTTTTTTCGTTTTTCATTTTCATTTTGGGGTTGATTTCGAATAATCCTTACCACCTGAAATGTATATTATAATTATAAGAATTTTCAAGAGATGACTGAAACCGTAAAAATAAGAAATCAATGAATGTTGTACCTCGTGAAATGTAGCATCAATGTTGAGTGGAGGATCTTTTGCACTAGTTTCAATGTATGGAATACCTAACCTATGTGCTAAGTCTCGTCCTTGCTCTTCAGTTACCTTCCTTAAATGAACAAGATCTACTTTATTTGCAACCAGTAACATGGGATATGTATCTCTGAAAATAAATTAATAAAATTTCGTTTATTTTTTTCATCCAAGAACACATGTATACCCCCACAAAATGTGAAGAAGAGGAAATATTAATGACCTTTTGACAAAAAAAACAGTTTGCAGATACTGTCAAGAAGAGAAAATATGAATGACTATGAAGACTAGAGAGAAGGAGGCATATCGGCAATGGTCAAATTTCCATCCTTCTTTTTATAAAGTTCGCCAAATTGACTGTAGTTGGCGGGTCGAACATTAGTGACATTAATTTTCTATGTAAGTCAATGTGAAATAAATATTTCTTTTAATTGGTAAAAAATCAGGGCTAGAGGCTTCAGTATTGTTTTCGTCTGCCCCACGCAACACAGAGTAATAGAGTGATTTTCATTTGCACGTCAAAATAAGGACCTCCCACAATAAGCAACATCCTATGAGCCGGATGTTATGACGTCACTCACAGAGTGATTTTCATTTGCACGTCAAAATAGGGACCGCCCACGATGCGTAACATCCTATCTTTAGGTGGATATATTGTGGGTGAAAAGAATAAAAATAATGTAAAAAAGTACCAGAGTACAAGTAACAAGAGTGACAAAAAAACATCAAAGCAAGATTTACTTCGTTCCAGGTTGTAAAACAGGATATAAATCAGATGTAAAACTGAAGAGAACAAAAGGAGAAATCAATTCAAAGTATTTTTAAAGCTCTTAATGTAAGTAAAATAATGTATGTATTTCTAAATATAATATTTATTGTAAACTAGTCACAACCAGTATCTTATGGAGTGTAGTCTATTTTTTTACAAATTTCAATATTATAAAATTGTAGAGTCATAAATCCTGACTTACAAACAACAATAATTACACATTAAATTTAACTTAGTAGAAAAAAACATGTTTTTTTTTTCAGAGTTACTACTGTTATTTTTTTTTTTTTTTTGTTAAACCCCCAATTTTGTCATAGTAAATGTTTTTAATAGGAACCTAAACATTTAGAACAGTGGCAGCATATCATTCCTAGGGCCGATAAAGTACTTTCTAGAGATGATGCTGTTTGCGAGCTACACTTTTTAGAAGATATTTCCAAATATTGATTCTTTTTTTCTGATGGTACTGTTAGCAAAATAAAAAATGGAAGGCCGAAATTAAAAGATGAGGCAATACCATGTACATTCCCAAATCTCCCTTTATGCTTGTATTAAAATAATAAAAAATCTGTTAACTGTGTTTTATTTTGCTCTTAAAACCATATTTCGGAATAATTCAAAAAAAATTTGCCACAAAATGTACTTACCAAATTTCACCATTTAACAAACTTTTTCGAATTTGGTTATACCTAATTTGCATTTTATGTAGATAAAATTAAATACTTTATCACTTTAAACATGCTAGACTTATTTAGAAACAAATACAACAGTATTTAGTCTGCTTTATTTAGCAATAAATAAGTTTATTTTTATTATTTTTACAAAATTCCCCATAAAAAGCCATGTATTTTTAACAGCACTAGCAACACCAGCGCCCCTGCTGTCAATTGTAAAAGCTCAATTATTAGCGTTCATTCTTTGGGACAGTATTTCGAGTATACCGATTTGCCTCTTTATCTCTAGTCTTCATATGAATGACCTTTGCCATTGTGAAGGCTTGACAAGACAGATTTCTAACCCTAGACGTTTATATTTGACATAGCGCTCCAGGGACAGGGTGTACCTTAGAAGATGTAAACAATTGGATTCCATATGTTTTAAGTCCATTGAATTTCTATTCTATGCCTACATTATAATATGTAATTTTTGTGGAGTAATGAAATGCTTACCTGTCTTTGACACGTAAAAGTTGGGTATGAAAATGTATAATATTCTCATAGCTATTTTTATCAGTCACTGAATATACTAATAAGAACCCATCTCCTTTTCTCATATATTGTTCCCTCATGGCACTAAACTCTTCTTGACCTGCAGTATCAAGAACTGAAAAAAAATATGTTCATGATTTAAGAGCTTTGTAAGAATTTAGAATATTAAGGTACAATACAAAACTTGCTAAAAATATAAGTGGTTACTCTGTTTCTAATGATCAATGTTTCCTAAGGTTTGATCTTTCTTGTACTATACAGAGTATTTTTATTATCATGAATTAAAATTGTAAAAAGTAGAGGGCTAATCCATCTTTTGGTTAATGAATTAAATAATGAAGACCAAGACAATAAACATTTTCTATTGTAACTAGTGCCTACATTTTTAAAACAATTCATATATACTAAAGGAATTTTTTGAACAGCATAACGTGGGTGTTGAATTCAGTAAATAAAAGTAAAGTGCAATTAGTAGAAATGAAGTGATGACGGAATAACAATAATGGACATAAAATTTTAATTGAAAATGTAAAAAACCCCCAACACTTTTGTAACTTTGTGCTTTGGTAGTCCAATCGATAGAGGCGTCGAGAGCTATACTCAGAAGTTTCAGGTTCGATCATTGGCTAATGCACTCATTTTTTTTTTCGGTATTTTTTTTTATTAATATGAGTTGAATCATTGGTATAAAAATTGTATTTGAACCTCGTGTTAAATAATAGTTTTTACTTGTTTGATAAAGTAATCTTTATCCATGGAAACACTCGACTTTTAAGACCTACAAATTATATTTATAGAGATCTTTCTATTTAATGATTTTTATTTACCTATTTGATTGATAGTAGTGTATTGAATTGTTGGTATAAAAATTATATTTAAAATCACATTGTAAATGTGTTTGTTTTAACACCTTCTTTCTGCAAGATTTTTTTTTTTTTTTTAATAATAATTATTCAAAATGAATTAATCCATTCGTTACCTTAACATGTAAATCTTCTAACTCCATACGTAATAATTTTACAGGAGAAGCAAAAAATCGTTTCATGTAGACATAAGTAAAAAAAATTAAATTAGATCAATAGGTTTTTATTTAAAGGAAGCTCTTAATTATCAGCAATACATTTTGAAAAACATTCAATTATAAAGGTTTTTGTTTACATTTTGGAGTTACATGTTATACAGGCTTAACTTTTGTGGAGATAGAAGTTTTGTAATGTAAGCAATGTAAAGTATGTAATGTAATTTTTCAATTTAAGTGCTAGGTTTTGACAGGTAAAATTAGATGTAACAAACATATTTGTTTAAGAAGTCCTTTAACAAATTAAAAACGGGATATTATCATATTCGTGGCAATTAGCTGGAATTACATTTTTTAATTCTTATATATTGACATTTTTTTTATTTTAGGATGCTTCGTATATAATTCTTCAAAATTATTGTTGATAATACTTGATAAATAAAATATACTTTATTTTGTATATATTTATGTTCAAATTACAATATTCCATCAAAAAAATATTCTACATGCTATAATCAACATTTTTCAGGTCTAATTAAGGAGTGTATTTGAGAATATTTAAAAAAAAAGTTTTTAAACAATTCGATTTTTGTTCCTAGGGGGGCACATTTCTGTCATATCCTCAACTACCATAAATCATTCCCTTCCCCTCCATCACTCAAACCAAGACAATTTAAATAAGGAAAGTACCAAGTACATATGATACATCACTTTTGTTTTTAGTATCCTATAGAGGAATAAAAAACTGTTACGTATTGTAAAGTGTGACACTTCATTTGAATGCTAATTTTATTGGTAATTCAATGAATCATATAAAATTAATCTAAAATCTCCATATTGCACTTGCAACAAAATAAAGTTAATAATAATGCTTTTTTTTTCATTTTAAGTTCATTTTAGATTTAGTTTATATAATTAAATGTAGTGCCTTAAATTACTAATAAAATTAGCTTTAAAATAAAGTGCCACACTTTACAATTCGTAACATTTATGCCACTAGAGAGCATTAAAATAAAAAATAAACCAATAAACAATCATATTGCTGAATTTTCCATAAAATTACATTTTCAATGATGTCATGCTTGGTACTTTCCCTATTTAAATTGTATTGGTTAGATTGATAAATGATGGGAGGGGAATGATGTTAGAAAGGTTTCCTCCTTTTTGCTTTTTTTTAATTTCTTTCAAAATATTCCCAAATACAGCCACTACCTTAATGAGAAGCTTTACATTTATTAAAATATGATAGTTTTTATCAAAACTATTTTGAATTTTTTTGTTGAAAATATTCCATTATTCTTTGAAAATGAAAGAGTCTGAAAAACACAACATTATCACTGAATTATTATTTAAAAAGTTATTTTTTCGCCAGAATATTTAAAAATAAACTTTATACAATATTCTATGGAGAGTATTTTCATAAAAAAAGCTATTGCTAATGGTATTAATAATACTAATGTTCACCCAGTGGTCGAAATTCGACCATAATCATTATTGAAAATTTGAGGAATTCGCCCAACTACTTACATTTAGGGTGGGGGTGAAGTGACTTGTCCTTTAGGGGGGGGGGGGGTGAAATGTTATCCTCTCAAAGTCCAATCTAGTGTACTCAAAGTTCATTTTCTTAAGTCTAGGGGTTCTGTATGTTTGAAAATCGGTTCATAAACAAGAGAAAATGATACTGAACTTTGTCTTTGTCTATTTATATTTTTTGTATTAGGTAATTTACTGTAAAAGAAATTCTTTTTTTTTGAGAAAACTGATTGTGGAGATACACGTTTTTATGTGAATTTGGGGCCTCTGTGGAGTTACAAGTTTTACATATCATAAAATTTAACAGACATGCCAACAAAATAGAGGTTTGTAATTTTAAGAGCTTACATATTTGGGATTTTATTAATAGATGACACAATAATATTGTTTTCAGTAAAAAGTAGAGTTAGAAGGTCATAAGGCACTTTTTTCAATAAATTTTTATTTATTTTTAAACTTTCATGATACTAAAGCCTGTCTAAACCAAATATTTTGCCTAATAACAATATCAAAACTTTAACGGATCGCCACATGGTTTGTCTGCTAGCTTCAAAGAAATAGGAGTAGTAACAGTAGAGACACAGCTCTTTAAGAAGTGGAACTTCACAAGATAACTGTCTTATCTATTGACATTTTACTAGCATCCATATTCACTCCCTTTCATGTAAAATTGCTAATATTAATGGCAAGTAGGTATGCTTAGTTGTTTCATAATTGAAAAGAGGACAAACTAGATAATTACCAAAATAACAATACTAATAAACTTACCATCCAGAATACACCACTGGCCGTCTACTTCTACATGTTGTAAATAACTATCTTCTATAGTGGGATCATAATCAGTAACAAACAACTTTTGAAAGAATTGAATAGTTATGGCACTTTTACCAACACCACCGTCACCAACGACGACTAGCTTTACCGTTGGTAAATTATCATTTGGTGGTCTCGTCATTGCTCCTCTTGTGCTGAATTTCTTACTTTTGCTACCTATTGTGCTTATTTATTGATTTATGCCAAATATCATCCACCCTTTCTGAAACAAAACATGAAAAATTAGATGTCTCTGTGTAATTTAGTCTAAAGCTATTTTAAGAAATGATCATTTCAGCATGAATTAAAAATGTTGTGGTCTTGAAAAAATGTATGACTATTGATCTTAAAATCACATAACCAGGTGTGCGAACATATTTATGAACGTGGATTAGGAATAAAAGTATTTTCGTTTACCTGTTCATAATCAAAATTTACACAAGTACTAAGAAGATCCCGTTGTTTTCGTTGTATTTAAATTAAAGAAAATTAAGGAAACCAACGAAAATAATAAAGCTCAACGGCCTTGAAGGTCAATCTTGCCTTGCTTCAATGATATACATATAGTTATATAGATTGCTCATCCATATAAATATATAAACGAAAAGTGGATGACGCCTTGAAGTGCCCACCAGACAGAATCGGTTTTGCCCAAATGTGTTTTAAACTCAAATTTTATCCTTCAAGCAAGAATTTAGTTAAAAAAATTACTTCAAGTTTACTTGTTTTAGGTATTTTGATAAAGCAAGAGTACATATTTTTTTAAGTTGTAAAGTCTAGTCTCCATATAGGTAAGTGTAAGCAATTTTACACTTTACACCTACTATATAAAACATATATTTGCAATATGTAATGCAACTTTGAAAAAACTTTAATAAGAAATGCATGTACTAACTTTAGTTTAATGTGGATATTTGGATATTTCATATATTATATATTCTTTTAAAATTTATTCCGCCGTTTTAAATGCAAATATTCACAAGTTTAATCAGCTTTCTGGATATTTTACTAATAGTACCTAAGTAGACTTTTAACACACTAAAGTTGGATTATTTCGACGGTGAATGTAAATAATTCGATGAATAAAACTAATGGAATATTTCTGCGAGAGAATAAGCTTCTGCTTGTGGAAATCTTTCCTTATAGAAACTCGACATACCAACATAACTTCAAGGTTAAATCACGAAATGCTGCATTACGTTTAATTTACCATTTCCCAAAACAAAATGTATTTAAAAAAATTCCTACATGTAATGTGTAAAAAACTGAAAAATCAAACGAACTCACCTGAAATGAAGATGGATCTCAATTATATGAAATGCCTTGTTCAAAATGCTCGAACCCACCCACGCACCTATACCCAAGATCATACTCAAGATCATCTCTACAAGATGCAAACACAATAAATACAGCTTTAAAAGAATTACGTTTTTTATTTGTAAAAACAAATCAATGCTCATAAATTAGCTTCAAAATATTAGCCAAATAAGAAAGTGAATTTGGAACACAATAGGTTTGTTCCAACAAGAGAAAACGATCATATAATATAATAATAATACAATAATAATACTCTCCCTAATTCACCCCCTTACGAGTGAATTTCAACCCCTGAAGTCGACTGAACGACTTGTGTAGGGGAAGGGACGGCTATTATTATTATTTGCCGTGGTGCTCCGGGGCGACTTAAGGATGATTGATGGTGCCATTTGACTTACAGGTGAGGAAAACCCGGAAAACCTCACCCACCATCATATTTCGGTACAAATCATGCGTTGTATACAATAAAATAATGATATCTTATTAAAGTTCTAATTAGTAAACCCTTTGGGGTCTATTCTGTAAAAATTCCTTTATATTTAACGGCCTTTAAAAATATTTTCTTCTTTAATTCGGTCACTATTTAAACGGATCTTTAAAATACATTAGAGTAAATTAACGAATACGAACATATTTTTAAAGGCCGCCAATATTTTTAAAGGCCGTTAAATATAAAGGAATTGTTACAGAATAGACCTCCAAATCCTCAATTTTCAATTCAAAACCGTTAAAAATTAAAGGCGAATTTTAACATCCCTTTATTTGAGGACTATATTTTAAAGAAATCCGATTAAATAATGACAGAAGTAAGTTAGTGAATACAAAAATATTTTTAAAGGCCGCCAATAGATCCAAGGGTCCCAGGTTCGTATCCCACCGTTGGCCGGGATTTTTTCATTTAATTTAATTATTTAAAATTAATTCTGATGCCTTGGTAGGATTTCCCACTTGACCATTCACTGTTGACACCAAAAAAAGACCGCCAATATTTTAACGGCCGTTAAAATATAAAGGAAGTGTTACAGAATAGACCCCATTAAATGATAATTTTTAATACAGAAAATACCGTATATTTACTTATTAAAACTCAATGTTAAAACTAGAAAAAACAATTTTAAATGAATCACTTAATTAAGGGCCGATTCCACCGTTTAAATTACTAAACAAAGATTAAAATTACATTCTTGATGTAAAAATGTCATTTTAATCTTTGTTTATTATTTTAACTTCGTTTGACACAACGGTGGAGTCGGCCCCGAGATATTTAAAAAATTATACAAGCTTCCAACATTCCCTTCATTACTTCTACATCTAGCTATGAACAGTCATTCTTGTTGCATTATGTGTCAGTTGTCAGCTACGCGGTCTGTTCCTTTGCATAAAAACAGTCATTGGTTTTTTCGGAGCAGGGGCTCGCCTATATTTTTTTTAGAACTTTATTTCGTCAATCCAAAGCTATAATTTATTTTTTAATATTAAGGTCTGAACGCTGACTGCTTCTGATTTATCTATTGCTGTCTTTAGTAGTCTTTTATACACATGTTTGAGTATTTTATCAAAAATAATCTCTTAGAAAAAACTGGGACATACAAAAATAAATAAATATAAAATTCATTGTTTTTCAATTTGTTTTAAATTAATTGGTACGCCTCTGTTTTAAAGATGACTCAACTTGTAGCGTGTGAAGTGGGTCTTGATTGACGTCTGGTTCTTCTTGTCGACAACAGTGGGAGTTTAAATAAAAAACAATGTTCAGCGATTTTATTAGTATTTATGTATAATAACTGTGTGTGCGATTTAATTTTGAATTTGGAATAGTGAATAAATATTTGTCAGGTCGAGTTTCAATAGATTTATCTGCATTAATTCTTGGATTTTTATATACAAGGTGAGAACTTTAAAAAAAGGTCAATGACAGTCAAGTTATATGAGTAAACAGGGCACGCCTATTTTAACTATTATATTTACAATTTCCAGCCCAAAAATGGCAAAAAAGCTTGCAGTACAACCCTCCTTACATAAGGTAATAATGGTAGGCAGTGGAGGAGTTGGTAAATCCGCTCTTACCCTTCAGTTTATGTATGATGAATTTGTAGAAGATTATGAACCTACCAAAGCTGATTCTTATAGAAAAAAAATACTCCTTGATGGAGAAGACGTACAAATTGATATTCTTGATACTGCTGGTCAAGAAGATTATGCAGCTATTAGAGATAACTATTTCAGAAGTGGTGAAGGATTTCTCTGTATATTTTCTATTACAGAAGATGAAAGCTTTCAGGCAACCCAAGAATTCAGGTACCTATTTGATACTAAGTATTTGGTACATTTTTAATAGTTCTTAAGTAAATTTTTGATAGATTCTCAAATATAATAATTTAATTATAGAAAGTATGTTACTCAGTATGTTAGCTAGTTTGTATTATTGAATACACTCTTTGCAGGTCAAATTCATAATCAACAATTTTGTTATTATATCATGTGTAACAAATTGCAAAATGTTTAGGAGTTACATTTTTGTTTTAATAATTAGTCACCTTTATATTTTACAATATTTAATTCATCATATTTCTTGATACTAGTATCGATTATTATTTTTGCATGTTTAGGTTTCTGTACTTCTGTCCAAGTTGTACTAATTTTTTTAATAATAATTTGTTTTAAATTTATTTTTTAGAGAACAAATACTTAGGGTAAAAAATGATGAAAACATTCCATTCTTATTAGTGGGTAATAAGTGTGACCTAGAAGATAAAAGAAAGGTATCCCTTCAAGAAGCCAATGACAGAGCAAAGCAGTGGGGAGTTCCTTATGTAGAAACATCAGCAAAAACACGGGAACATGTAGATAAGGTAAATATTTTTGCCTATTAATCCAAATTATAAAACAAAATTAAGCAAATTCATATAAATATGTTAAAATAGAGATTGGTTTACTGACTTATTACAGGAAATTGTTATTAAAACACTAAAAAAGCAAGAGAAGTTAAAATGATTTCAGTGCCTATTTAATTCAAAGTACATAGAATAAAACAGAAGTTTTACAAAACACACAATTCTATTTATCAGTACTAAGTAATACCTGTAAAATATTGGGGTTTCTGGTATCAACTGTTTATTGTTAAATTATAAATAATTTGGACAACAATAAATACAATCTCTTCTTGGATAATAATTAAACTTGAGAAATCAGCAAAATATATCAGTGGAAGCAAAAATTAAATAAATGAATTAATTTAATAAAATATATAAAAATCATAGGAAACTGTTATCTTATATCCCTTGAATATATTTATAGAAAGCTTCATGCAAGTAATGATTCATCATTCTAATCTTTAATAATACATCAGAAAATCTGACTTCATTAAACATGGGAATTTACTTACTATTGAATGTAATGCTTGAGGTCATCGAAGTTTATTTTAGATGTAAGTCAAGTAACAGATCTCTACTGAATTGAGTTTTATTTAAAGTGGTATATTAATTAATTACCATGTTGCTAATAATTATTATCTAATTATAATTTTAATGATAGTTATTGATTAAGTTTAAATGGTTATAGAGATTTAAGTGATTAAATTATATATATAGATTTCTGGAAAGCTAATATCTAAATGATGATTTGTATAGGGATGGAAAAGCGAGTGGAAAAGTCTGTTACAAGGTGAACCTTTCTAGAAACCACACAGCATTCTTTTCTCAAATTGTAACCTGTTTTTTCTATTATATGAATTTTCACCTTCATTTCAGTATTATATCATTCTTTTTTAAAATAATGATCAAAATAATATGACTTATTGTATTATAATAACGATTTTACCAACATTAAGTACACTTTAATCAGAAATTATAAGTACACCAAAATATATACAGGGTGATTCAGAATAAAGTACAGTATACTGAGGGGCATGTATAGCAGGGGCTTTTGGTAGGTAGAGAGGGGGGGTAAACATCAAACCACGTTGGGCGGCTTCGAGAATTTCACAGTACTGTTTACCTGCCATTGTCTTTTCATAGAATAAGTAATTTTAAATTATTTCCGGCGGAACCGGACAATCGCATGTATTTATGGACTATAAATAATTATTATTGTATTGTATACATGCAAGTATATACATGTTTTACTGGAAATGACTATGTTTGTTTAGGATTGAAAACTTTTTTTTATTGTAGATATAGGTTTTTAAACTGTATGCTTTCAAATGAATTCGTGATCACACATTATTTTCGTTTAATTCAAGTAGATCATTTAGAAACTGAAATCTTTTTTATATAGATTACATAAAATAAAAATAAATAAAATTAATTTATTTCTAGTAGTAACAATATTAAATGTACATGTTTTATAATAAAATTATTATTATCAATGTGATCAGAACATATTTATTGGTTGTGTCTAGATATAATATACGTGTGTAGAAGTAAGCTATTTATAAAACAAAACAAAAAATGAAATAAACATCAATGCTACCGAATTCCCATAAAATTTATTTATTCTTTATTTGTTTAGGTCACCACTTAACAGTTAAAAACCAATTACCTATAGAATGGGATGAATACAGAAAAAATACATTTTATTCCTGAGATATATCATACACATTTTCAGACAAAAAATGTTCAGTTTCATTTTACTGTCCATATTAGAGCACAAAACATTTTAAAATTATCACACAAAAATTTACATACTACTAATATATAAATATATACACAATAGATACTATATACACATACAAGAGATAATATAAAATAGAGTAGGTACCCAACTATTCGTAATAGACATATTTCATCCATCAAAAGATTCAAAAAACCTTTTATATAACCTTTTGACTTTCTCCGCCTTTAAATTTCAATGCTCTTCAGTGAATCCAGGAGAAACATCAACAGCCTAATACCACTTTGATAAAGTACTGTGATGTGGGAGACAATTGTTAAATTTTTCCCTCACATATGTATAAGCCTTCATACTGTAGAAGCTTAAAGTTAGTACAAACGCTCTTAATTCAGGGGAGTATTTTGTTCTGGTATGATCTTTAATTGCTCTCTTGACCAATTCCTTAGATCAACTTGCAAGAGAAGCTACTTTAATCCAAAATAACATATATAAATAAAATGTTTCCTCATCATTTAAAACATTTATGAAAATGACTGGAATTAATTCTTACATCCACAAGTATATCTGTACTTTTGATAAAAGATTTATTTTTATATATATCCTAGCATACTATTTAAAGATTCCAATCTACTTTGTAAAATATATTTCTCTTAAGTTTTTTAATTATATTTTTTTTGCATAGAATCTTCTTTTGGGCAAGAGCTAATTTTCTATCAAAAAATAACTGTTCAAATTTTTTTCTTAAGCATTGCTTTGCTGTAATCATAGTAATGCTTGATTATATGAGAAAATATCTTATTTGACTTCAACAAACCTTCGTTTTTCTTTTTTAAGTTCTCTTTCCCTTTCAGAAGCAGTTAGTGTAGATAAATGGGGCTTACAGATATTGTGGTTTTAGGTGATGAGTTCATCAAATTTTAAACAAGTTTTGTCCTCTAAAGAGAGTTAAAGATTGAAGTTCCGTCTTGCATATTTTCGTCCCAGCAGATGAAATGTACATAAAATGTATTCTGCAGATTTTTAATGATATACATTTAATTAAATTTCAAAAGTTCCAAAGGCTATTTATTACCAGCACCTGTTTGATTTTTAAAAATATAAGAGCTAATCATACCTTTTCATTAGCCTTCTATCTTTCTTTTCCAACTTCGAAATTTCCAATGTTGGGAACTGCAGATAAGGACATATTTTCTTTACCGTCGTTATTTTTAAGCCTGTAAACAATAATGTAATAATAATAATAATAATATATGTTTAGTATTTAACAAAATAAGCAAATAAGTGTGTTTCGAAAGCCACATATATGAATATCGAATTACAATTATTTAGTTTATTTGGAAAAAACTTACTCATTTTTAAAGCAAAGTACAGGTACAGCTTTTGGTATAGATCCTTTTATTAATCTATTGCTACCTTTATAATAATGTTCAGTTGAAAATGGTCTGAACACAGACATGTGTTGTTATAAATACTATTAATGATCAACCTAAATACTTGGTTGTGAGATCAGTGGGAAATCTGAAATAAGTAAAAAAAGATTTAAAATATTAATGGTAGTTGAATAAATATGTAAAATACAAAAATATATCTAATCCATTTTACATTATACAAAAAGACATAAATTAAGCATTATTGCAAAGAAAACAACTATTTTCTGTCGAACGCAACCAGTTGTGATGCTCAAATGAAGAACATTATACAAACATGTTTTTATTTGCCCATTTCCCATTTTAGTTTACGTGTATGGAATATAGAGTACTTACTTTATAGAATATTACTTTTAAGAATTTATTATTGCAAACTATTTTATAATAAAAATACACTTAAAAAGTTTATATCAAAGAGACACCTCGTCCAAACTGTCTTTGGAAGCCACAAAAAATGAACTTTTTAAAAACAAAAACAAGATGTCAAATGAAATGCGCGCGTTATTTAAATTCGCCAATCATAAATCGTCGTGTTCCTAACTCGCCAATCGTAATGCGTCAGTACCTAACACCGAAGAGGTTACCCCCCCTCAGTACATAACAAACCCATTTGAGTAACACCTCTAGTCTTATATGCTCTAAGGTTAGATCTGCTGCAAACCTGTCAATGTATGAGTATAAAGTGGGAGAACTGGCAAAAGCATTTCCAACTTCTGCCCCTGCTATATATCTTAACTAATTATCAAGAAAATCTTCATACCATTTTTCTGTAAATGTCCCAACAGAAGGGTTCAAGTATTAGATAAGCAAAAATAAGAAAATCGATAAGACAAGAATTTGTTCAAAACTTTTATTGAGTATCAAAATTTAATATTTGAAAAACCAAATTATTTTTAAGATTAAAGTAGTGTTTTAATAAAATCAGAAAATTAAGAATAATTTATTGTTCATGGACTTTATATCCAATTTTTACATCACTTCCAATTCAGGCTTAAATTTGTTGATTCTGTTGGATTATTAACGTCAAAATAATATTATTAATCTAAATATAATGTATTTTGAAAACATTTTCAATAATTTGTAATTTTTTATCTTATGTAAGATTTATAATATCCACCCATTCCTTTGTCAGCAAAAATTAAGAAAAAATTTAACCCTCGCGCCCTTAGCCTATTTACGTAATACTGGAACCCCCCAGTTTACATTCTACAGGTTCATAAAGTAAATTTCATGAATATATATTTCTTCAACATTTTTTTGCTGTGTGGAAATTTTTAACTTCCATTACATTTTTTTAGAACTTATTATTATTTCAGGTATTTTATGATCTCATGAGAGAAATCAGGGCACGCAAAATGGACGAGAACAAAACCAATAATGGAAGAGGAAAAGACAAAAGCAAGAAAAAGAAACGTATATGTCATATCCTTTAATATGTGTAAAAAAGTGTGCTTGTTTATTTGCTTTAAGTGTAATTTTTAAGAGGTAAAATCTCGGAAATGAAACTGATAATAATATTTCCATTCATTTTTTATTTATTAAAATTTTTTGTCACTTTATGGTAATAAGATATTTCATATATTTTTGTCTAAAATTGCCGCTTTGTGCACCGTTTCGAAATGTTTTGTGTATTGTGTAAGCTGTGTTAAAAAATGTAATGTATTGAACTCGAAATACCTCAATTTTTTAATGATTAATAAGAACCAAAAAAAAAAACAATGATTTAAGGCTTTAAATATTTTATTGATTCCGCTTTATGTTTAAACATTTTTTTCTAGAAAAATGTTACACATTAAAAAGACAAGTACACCCTATGAAAACATTTTATTTTTGAATCACCAACTTTGCTTGTAGAATATTAATGGATTTGATTATTAATTTTTTTCGGATTGGAAATATTTTTTATCCATGATGTTATTGCAACATATTTACAATAAATTTGAAAATGTGCAATCAGTTGTTCTTAATAAGAAAGTCCTTTTGGTGACAGTGGCTAAAGATTGTACAGCAATCAATGCACTTCTGGGATATTTGTTCTTCAATTTATAAATATTATTTTTAATAGGGTGGAAGTAATTATTCAAATCACCCTTGTAAAACGTAGGAAATAGTAAATTGTGATTTACTTGATCGCATTTCTATATACAAAATAAAATATCAATCAAGTAGTACCTTTAAATTATTTAATGTACACATATAGGGGGTCTGAAAAGTGACACTGGGGTATATATGGTTTTCCACATGTGGGCATTTATTTTTCATTCAATTTAAGAAGAAACAAGCGTTTACTACCTTATTTTTCAATAAAAGGACTTCTCAGAGTTTATACTATAAATTCTAAAACACGTATTTTGAAAATTAAAAACTTTTTTTATTGTACCTGAAAAAATATATTTTATTTTACTGGAATTTCTTAAATATAGTATAGGTTTTAAAACCTATTTTATTTGTAGGTACGGACCTATAACTTACTATTTACTTGAAATTGCATTTAAAACAAAATTCCTAACAAAACCATAGTCCCTAAAGTGTGCAGACATCCTTATTAAACCAGTAATATATTTTTTTAAGCCAGATATAAATTTATTTTAAACTATTTATTTTCCAATGTGTTGGTTTAGTTTTTAAAATTATTTATGATAGATAATTTATTAGAACAGTTTCACTTTTAGTTTAAATATTGCATAATTATGTCATACATGTATATAATATGATCCACAATATATAACCGCAGTAAAAGTAGTTTTGATACAGTAATTTTATCACCTATTTCTAAAGAGCTTGCACCCAACTTAAAAGCTTATTTAATTTAATTACCTTTTCATTAAAAATAAGGCCCATTTTAAACTAGCCTACAATAACTTAATAAAAACATATTTTTCGAGCCATTAATGTAGCCGTGTAGAAAATGTTGTTGATTTCTACATTATAGAATAATTATCTAATTATTGTAGTTTGATTAATTTTTTGCATTTTGGGTGCAAGCTGGAAATTCGGTAAAGGTTGCCAAAATACCAGTGATATTAAAAATCATTTAAGATATCTGTTGGCAATGTTGACGAAATAATTTTTCACATGACAAAATGTAAAGTTTTTTTTTCACTATTTGTACTGCCATAGCGTTGAATAAAATATTTATTCACAGAAACTTGTTTTATTTGAGAATCAAGAGGTTCAAAAATTCGCAGTTAAAGTGATTTGTTGTATTGGTTTGTGAATCAGCTTTTATGTGCTTTTACTTTCGTTTATTACCTTGACAAAAATATATTTTAACTAGTTCAATGTTTTTCTTTCTGGCCATGTCTCGGAAAACGTTTATTAGGCCAGGAGAGTAGATTTAGATGTGAAAAATTAGAATAAAGCTAAAAATTGGTATGTTCGTCCAATTCGATGTCTTTATGACCCCCTTTCGCTATATGGCTTGCATGTTCTTAGAGATGTTTTTTGTTTTTAAATTGTTTTTTGAGATCGCTGGCAAACGGCTAGGTAATCTAAAATGAGAAATTCTTGTCCAGTCTTCCTCTAGAGTAGTCATACTCAACATGCGGCCCGCGTCCTTCTAAGCTTTTCTTTGCAGCCCGAAACACTATTATTAAGAAGGTGAAAACTATTGGTTTCTGTTTTTAAAATCTTGAGCGAAACGTGCGAAAATTTTTGGATCAAGGGGTTACTGCAAAAACAAGATAGCTCCACTTTTGGCATTTTCGTCTCCAAAATAGTTCAAATAATATATGGCATAATCAAGACAAGTGTGAACGAAGTCTATATTCATGATAAACATATGGTCAATAAAAACTAACTCCATATTAATATACATGCCCGAAGATATTAATAGATATGCACAAACAAGATGAGTGGCATTTATACCGAAATATAATCATAGCATTGTGTTCAATTGCTAATAGTGTGTCTTCCAAAACCAGATAAGAGACTTGTAACTTATTTTGTCTAAATGTATTTATTTCGATTCCTAATATATAGTGTTTCTGCCAAAACAAGATAGAAGCCAGAACACTTATTTTTGTTGAATACTTTTTGCTCAATGGGTCCGAAACACCAGCTTTTCGCATTGAAAAATCCAAGCCATACCGATAAAGGGATGCCGGAAAGAGTGAAAAAAGGCTCTGAAAATACAAAAAAGTGCATATTAGTAATGCCAAGAAGATTTACTAAAACTTTGCAAATCAGGTGCTACAACTGATAAATTAAACCATTATTATCACAATCTACCTTTATCCAATAATGTTAGACACTTTCTGAACCTTCCACAAAAGCTAGTGACACAGATATTGAATATTATGACCTGCACAATGCAGATGGATTCTTCTGTACGAACTCAACACGATACGTATCTAATAGAGAGGGACATTACATAAGAATTAAAGTGTGTCGAACGAAGATAGGCGTCTCAATATGTGCCGTTTTGTCTCTTTTTTTGTTGTTACCAATCAATATATTCTTATTAAAGACTAATTATGTTTCAAATTCCTTTTTTTTTATTGAAGATGTTTATTAAACAGTTTGAAGCTTTTATTCCACTTTAAACTTTTCTTGAAACTCTAAAAATGTGAGTTATCTTGTTTTTGTAATAACAAGATATATGTATGTTTTGTGTTTTATTTCTCACTAACTAATTTTAAATAGATAGCCTAAATAAAGGATATCATCCAAAAATATTGCGGCCCGTGTAACATAGCAAACATACGTATGTGGCCCAAAGGAACAGGTCAGATGGAAAACTTTTGTATATAAAAAGTGTGGAGAATTTAATTCAACTTTTCTATTATACAATTAGGTATTTATT